GAAAGAGAGGAGACCTAGAAACAATGCTTGGGATGTTCAGAGTAAGGAAACTGTAGGGACATCACGGATTTATGGTTTCAGAGGTGAAACTAATGTTGGTGGGTTCTGATTTAGTTCTCCAGGGAGTGATGGCTTTGACCTATAAAGTTTAGGCTAAAAAACCCCACCTCATCTGCTCAACAGCCTTCATATGACAAGTGAGAGGCATTAGTATGACAAAAAGCCATTGGATGCCCTCCAAAAAAAACACAAATGATAATATAAAAGAAGTCACAATTATTCTCTACTTCACTCAGCTCTGGGTTGAGGAATATAAAGTCATACAGTTTTGGAACCAGAGAGGGATGTGGGTTGAGCTTCCATCCCCTCTCTTAGAGTTCAGAGAGCTAGGGTAAGTACCTTCACTTGTATCAGTCTCAGTTTCCTCATGTATAAAATATGAGAAAAAATGCTCACTTCTCAGATGCTGGGGAAAACTCAGATACCTTAAACAATGGTATCTAGCTCTTAACAATCATCCCTTCCCCTGTCCTCTTCTCCCATGAAGCTCAAGCACTGCTGACTGGGAACTAGGAGGAAGAAACCCCAGCCCAGTAGGACCCAGGCTGACTAGTCCAGCAGTCAACCTTTCTGTTGGAAATCTCGGCCCATTGTATGAAGCACAGCTCAGCTCCCCCTACTGAGTGGGTGGCCTGGGCTGCCGCACAGTCATCCCACAATAGCCACCTAAAGTTCTGCACACCCAGTACATCTAAGGGATGTGAAAGAAGACCCTGGGCCCTGGGGTATCCTGTAGGCTCTGGGAGACCAGTCAGCTGACAGTCCTGTAAGGACCTGTCTGTCTATCTAAGGCCTATAAGCTGAATTGGGTACTTCTTGACTCTCTGCCCTCTTCAAACCTGAAGGGATACTTACTTCCCAAAGGGCCTCTCCAGAGCAAAAGGCCGGGCAGCATAATAATATTGCTTGTATTCATCCATCCACACTTCAGCTGTCCGCTTGGTGTTCCTGGGGGAACAGGGCATGTCAGGAAGGGGCTCAGAGGACCTGTAATGTATCCAGTACATACATGCAGGTTGGGCTAGCCACAACACCCAGGAGGGGGAATTCCACAGCTGAGCCCTGGTGTTACTGGCAAGCCCCGCCAAGCCCAGCCAAGCCCCATCTGATTTCCAAAGGGCCTTAACCCCAAGACACAGGATTTTAGTAATAACAGCAAGCCTTTCTCCCAAAGGTACAGACTAGAAAAATCACGCCAGAGACCAAAGTTCTGTGGCTTTCAAAGACACAAAGAAAAGGGCCAGGAGAACTAGATGCATCTCTTTGCTGCCCAAGTACAAAGGCAAGGCCTTTGCTGACCATCTCACCTCTGGCCATCCTCAGACTCTGGCTCACAGCTTCTCTTCCCTACCAGAGGGGAAGTGCTGAGTCCCCACCTCTCCAAAGGAGAGGGCAGCACACAGAACCTATAGGCTCATGCAATTAGCTTGGTGCAGGTGGACAGAATTAAGCAATAAAGTCATCTCTTTCAGATATTTTGCCAGCAACCTATAGCTTTCTAAGTCAAGTACTTGCTCTGAATCTGACCACAAAGGTCACAGAAAAGGAAACAGAGGCAGTCACTGAGGATACCAGTGTGCAGCTGTCAGGGATACAGGGGCCACAGGAAGGGCCCCAGACTAGAGAGGAAAGATATCAGAACACAGTCAGGTGGCTGAAGACCTGAACAGCAGCAGCACCTGCCAAGGACTGAGGAAAGGAGCTTGGGCTGTGACTGAAAAGGGAAAGTCCTACAGCTGCTAGTTCTAGTTTTGGAGCAGACCTTCAATGAAGGAGCACGACAAGCCCTTTAAACTGGGACCTGAAATGAGTCCTGTCCAGAGAGAGCCCAGTTCTTGGGGCACCAGAGGCAGTTAGTTACTACTGTCTCATTGGCCTCTTCCCCTGCCTAACCCTTAGCAGACTGGCAGCAGCTCAGCAGTCACCTATGCCATGTTTCTCCAGCCACTTAATGACCCAACAGTGGCTGGGGAGATGCCCGCTGGCCAGGGTCCAGTCTCAAAGACAACAAGCATCTGGAGCCCAACCCCTGCTCCTCCTTCCCAGGCTGGCCTCCTTCCAGGTGGCCACAGGGCTCCTGCACAGCCACACCGCTTGCTTCCACCAGATGTCCTAGTATCCCTTTACTTCTTAGAAACCCAAGAGCTGAGCTAGCCCTGCCTGTTTCCCTCCCTGCTCCCTAGCCAGCTGATTGTTTCATTGCCCCACCCTTGCCTGCCGGAGTTTTGCAAAAGGTACAGTTAATTTTTGCATTGCTAAAATTCCTGCCTCCTGAGAAGGCTGTGTCAGGAACTGAGGTATGCTGGTGAAACCAATAAAGGAAGCACATAGGCAAGGACAAGGACCCCAAACCAGGATGACGGCAAAAGGGGTGTGCAACTCCCTTCCTCCAAGGGGATGAAATGACAAAAAACCAAGGAAGCAGAGGGGATTAAGTGAATGAGTGAAGTTATCAGAAGACAAGAGACAGGATCAGAAGAAGAAGTGAGAGGAAAAGATTCAAAAGGCAGGTACATGACTTTTTTTTTTTTTTTTTTTTGAGAGGTTTTTGCTATAGGGTGCGTGTGCTAGCCAGAAAGACAGAGAGAGACAGAAAGTGAGAAATCACCCCCCGGGGGGATGGCCACACCACAATCCCTTCTCCTCCATTCTCCTCTCAGGATCTTGGGCACGCATGCACATGGACCTGGTGTGAGTTTAAGCCACCAGGTCCGGGACTCAAACCGTGGTCGACTACATGGGAGTCCAGTGACATAACCATTATGCTAACTGCTGGTCCCAATTATTTTTAAAGGAGAAGAGAAATATTTAAAGAAGAGAAAGCAAAGACAGAAGAAGAGTACATGAGGGAAGGAAGAAGAGAACGGGCAAGTGGGTTCCCCTGGGTTGCTGAGTTCCCCAGTATGTATGGACACATTGGCATAGGAAGCCCAGGTCTCAGGGCCCGTTCCAGCCTGGATCCTTTTTGTGCACTGGGAAGACCCTGGAGCAGGCACCAAGCTGCATCCACTTACACCTCCCCACTCCCTGAATCTTCCCCTAGTGACCCAGCCTGAAGGTGGGAACCAGGAATCCTCTAGATCTGGCAGGTAAAGAGTGTTGCCCCTTCCCCACCCCATCTAACCCCAAATAGCTGGAGCCAGAACCCTGCAGGATGGCAATGACCAGTGGCTTGAAGTCCCCAAGGCCGTGTGAAGGGCTCTGTCAAGCCTCAGGGAGGTTGATGGTGAAGCACACCCAGGGGTTCTCCGACTGTAACACTAGATGTGTCCAGCCTGACCTCCCCTGCCCAGGCAGGTCCAGGGGCATGACTTGTGACTCCCATTCTTCAGGCAATGTAACAGCACCAGGGGTGGCTACAACTCATCACCAACAAGACAAGCCCCTGGGCTATACACTTACTTTATATAGGTGTTGGCGTTTCCATCAGGGAAAACATACGGGTGCTTCTTCCGGAAGACATGCCCCACCCGGCTGCAGGGGATGATTTCTAGGCTGCCCCCGCACATCCACACTCGGAAGGAGATTTCTGCAAGACAGTCATGCCCCTCCTATTACCTCCTTTCACTGCTCCTCCAGCTTCATGGAATCCCAGGTCTAATGAAACAGAGAAGGCTCATTGCACCTGGCCTAGCACACAGTGACTAAGAGCAGACTCTGCAGCCAGACTATGTTCCCCAAGCTGGGCAACCTCAGTTTTCCTATGTGTAAGTGGGGATGATAACCCTAACACTTTGGAGGGTGGTAATGAATTAATATAGGAACAGTGCCGGGCACACTAGTCCCTGGAACACATTTAGCAGCCAGAATGGTAGGTAAGGCTTTTCTGGGATATTTCAGTCTGGAAAAGAGGAGCCTTGGAGGCAACAGGGGAGTTGCTTTTGAGTATGTGGAAGGTTTCAGAGTGAAAGATGGATGAGATACACTCCCTGTGACCTCAGATGATTAGAACCAGGACTCAGGAGAAAGAAATTCCATTTGAGAATATGGGGGCATTTTCTAACAATCAGGGCCCAGATGACTGTCATAAGAAGGGACAGGTAGAAAACTCCATGGCACGCATGCAACTGGGAAGACCAAGCTCCCAGAAGGCAACTGGACATGTATCCATGAAAGCGTCTACACCAAGCCTACAAGTCTACCTTTGGATAGGAGCCACCTGAATCATAGCCCAGGAGGAGAAGGAAGTCTGAGCAGTTACCGAGTGCTGAGAGCAGCTGTAGAAAATGCTGGAAGCCTCAAAGCTGTTGTTGAGGGTGTTCCCCAGGGTGGGATTTTGCACACATACTCATTTCCTCCTGCTTGGCTGCTGCTGTGCGGCCCTCAGAGAGGAGGGTGGGTAGAGTTAGCAGAAGCGGCTGTGATTAGTGTCTCTCTCCCCTGGGACTGCTCACTAGCAGGCTTAAAGCAGGGCTTCTGCCCCAGAAGGAGGCAGCAGCATACCAAGGGGGCTGGCAGAGTGTTTTGTCACTGTCATTCTTTAGTGCATGGCGATATTAAAAAGTAGGATGACTGTTAGTATGATGATTGCTTTTAAATTCTCTACAGACAATGCACCCCAGGACAGGCCGCCCCTGCACCTCCTGGGTATGTCACTGGTGGGGAAGCCAGCTTCTGATCTGTAGGAATTCCCACCTGGCCCATGCTTCTGCAGTCAAGCTGGAGGGTGGAGATAGGCTCATGACAAATCCATGCCTGACAGTGGCTGCTCCTGTGAAGGGCCATGTGGATGCAAGCCAGGTGTTCAGTGGCAGGGAACATGGTATAGGTAGGTATCCCAGGGTATTCCAGACCCATGCATACCCTGAACCCTCCGGCACTCTGCCCACACCTCCAGGCTACCCCGGGTTTCTTTGCCATGGGTCCTCTCTCTCACTGTCCCTTCCACTTTCTGCTTTTGGTCTCTTATTCCAGCTCTCCAAGCAGGTTCTTAAGCTCAGATTTTTCATCATGATCCTCACCTGCTCTCACTCACCTGTCCTTAGCCACCCTTACCTGTCCCCTACTGCCTCCTCCCATGTTTCCTTGGAAAGGCCCCTGAGTTTCAGGAAGACCTCCTTCACTCCAACCCTGTTCCCACATCGTCACACCCGCCCCTCTGCCTACTGTAGCTCAACCTTAGGAAGCTTGGATTTCCTTCAGGGTGGGGACAACATGGACCTGGGATGAAGGACTTCTCAAGATGGCCACTGAATGATGGCAAGCACATGGGGTATGGGGAAGAGATGAGAAGAGCTAAGCTTTGGAGTCTGCAGTGATCTACTCGCTGCATCCCTAGGAAACCTGCTTCAGCTCACGGAAACTTGATTTCCTCATATGTCAAACAAAGAAAATAAAAATACCCTGGAAGACTGCTGTCAGCATCAAATAAAATATGATTTTGAGAATAACTGTGTCAACTCTTAAGTGTGATTGAAAGATCAGTGGCAGTGATCAAGAGACACCCCACTGAAGCCAGTCTCTTTAAAACAGGGACACTGATGTGCATCGCCCACCTGCACCTGCTTCAAACTCCTTAAACAATTTACAGCTTCTTCCTCTGATCTCCTGCCGCACTGCATGAGATACTTGGAATTCATGGACTTAACATTTGAGGTTTTGACTCTCCATAAAGTGCCACGGTATGGAGCAAGCCGGCATTTGGCTGAGGCTCTGTCTGAATTGTGTGCCCCACACCGTGGTGTTCATGTGAGTCACCAAGCAAGGACTGAGCTCAGCCCACTGCCTGACAGCTACCTCTCCATCTTGCAGGGAATACCCTGGGGAATGAATGGGGTCAGCGTGTAAAATTATGCTGGTACATGTACATGTGAGTCTCAGGGTGACTTTCTTAACACATCTAAGGTCTACTGAGTTCCTATCAACTCCTCTCCAGGGACTCCAACAGAGTGTGTTCCAGTTCCCAAAAAAGGAAAACCATCTAATCTCTCAAAATCAGAGATAGTGTCCTTGCTTACTACAGATATAACCTACCAATTTTGTGCCAGCTTTCTTCTAAAGATATGCATATGTTTCAGCTATGGTCTCTTCCCTTCCATGTATTCAAATGAGACATATGTCCCTCCTCATTTACAAAGCAAATCCCTCCAACCTGTGCCTCCACTCCATCCTCCCCACCCCAGGCCCCCAGAGGCTGTTTCTTTCCCTGGGTTCCCTTTGCCCAGTATTTTGTTTCTTTGAATTAGGAGCCCCCATTTTCTTTTCAATCTTGGAAAGGGCCCTGGTCCTTTTCCACCTTCTTCTGGTCTCCTGGTGGTCTTCTCCTACCTTATCCCATGGCTCTGTCTTCATGTCTTCTGGATACTGCTTCCTTATCTGACCCCAGAGTTGACTTGATGCCGAGGGCTCATGTCTATCCCACAGATCTAGCTTCTAGAGACTGGCTGGAGTCTGCATTGAGGTACACTGGACCCTATCACACCCAATACATCTTTTACCCCTTACAGCATCTTCCCACAGCCCACTGCAACCCCATCTCCTTATCCTCTCTTCTAAAGCCATTCTTCCTCTTCCTCATCTTCTGGTGTCTGTTGCTTTAGTGCAAACATTTAGAGCAGCACAATTCCACAAACATTAGCCAACGGAAGAAAGTGACCCCTTCATTTACTTCTGGGCCAGGCTCTGCTAGGTTCTCCCTCAGGCGGTAGCTTATTAGTCCTCCTAACAACACTGCTCAGTGGTTATTGACGTCCTTATTTTACAATGCAGAAGCAGCTCTATGGGACCACTGACAGCTTGTAGCTGGGAATTAAAGTACATTTCCCCAAACTCCAAAATTCATGCTCTTGCCTTGACACCTCCCTGCCTCAAAACTGAACATCCACCACTGTCCAATACAGCTGTAGATACAAACATACTGACTTCAAGGCACTCACAAACTAACAAGAGTGACAAATATATAACTAGCTGTCACATTTCTACCTTATCAACTCACTCATCCAGCGCTGAAAAATGTCTGCCTTAGTTCTGCTTCAGGCCAGCTGCTGCTGCCCAGAGGAACCTACAGCCTGAGATGGGTTGAGAGTTTCTTGATGCTGGAGTCTGGGTTGTCATGACTGAAATGATTGGAGGCACATGGCCTGACACGGATCACTGTGCTTCTGCCAGATCAAGAAACAGTCTGGGGAATGCAACTTGGAGTTTTCTGATTATTGTAATGATTAATAGGAACCAGAGTGTAGAATATTTAAAACCCAGAACATAGCGTTGCCCTACCTTCATCTATTCCACCAACTTTGAGATAGTGATATTTATCCTGCGAGAATTGCAAGCCAGGCTCAATGGTTGCAGATATATGCTCAAGTCTTTGGGAAAGTCTTGCAGTTCTGCAGTGAAGCTTGTACAAACTTCATTTGAATGGCTGTAGACGGTGGTCTGAGGTGGTGGGCCTTCCTGGTACAACCTAGAGCTTCTGCTCTCCAAGTCTGCAGTTTTGCAGACTCATCATTTTTCCCGTGAGGGAAGACAGAGCAAAAGACTTTATGTAGGGATTTTGTCGGGGGTTCTCGCTGAGTCAGCACCCACATAATCTCCCTGGTGATGAATGTCATGCAGACCCAAATCCACTTTGAATTCCAGGCAGGAAGACATGTAATTATTCCTTGCTCATTGGGTGTCTTATTGTCTTACTTTCTTTGAACTTCAGGTTAATATTTGAGAGCAAATTGCCCTCCCAGTCTCTGTTCTCATCTCTTTCTATCTCTTCATCAATCCACCAGCTCTCTTAAGGCCCTACTCCTTCACCAGACTCAACAACCTTGATGAGCACATGAGTGGTAGGTAGAAATGCAGAGAAGGGTCAGCTTTGCCTCCAGGAAGCAAACTGCAGCTATTCACATGGAATCGCTTGCCCATACTAGTCAAGGTTCTAATTTCATTTTATAGCCTGGTTTTTCAACAAAGGCAAAGGAACCATTACCCATGGGTACTACTTAATGCACTCTTTTAAATGGAGCCTCATAAATTATATATGTACATATACTGTATACATAGTAGCGTTATCTATTCTACCTTTATCTAAGCTTACATTTGTTGAGGATGATGGGTGTAGAAAGGCCAGTTGTGGGCAGAAACGACAAACATTCACTTAGCTACTGTCATTTCAAGACCATACATATATATGTGCAATAGGGACCTTGCTTTCCAGTAACCTTTAAGTTCTCAAGGCCTTTTACGTCAAGAAGCAAGCTCTGTTTTTATTCTTTAACAAATATATGAATCTAAGTGAAGATAATCTTCTAAGTCCACAGAAAACAGCCTTGAATTTGTGAGCATGGCTGCCCTTTATTCACAACTGGGTCAGTCAAGGCTACGTGCAAGACTCTGCTTCTGGTTAAGTAACAGACATATAATGGTCACCAAGGGCCATTCAACTGCAAATGTCAGGGAGGCACCATTAACCCTTCCATATGCCCAGTGGAAAACCAGTGCCCTCTCCAATGAAACTCAATTAGACTTAGGGAGACTCAGGAGCAGTAGCAAAGATTGGTCTTGAGAGTTTGGGGCTTTGACAAAGTGGTACAGCTAAGG